CGCCCGCCGGGTCGCCGCGGCCCGCAGCGCGCCTGGGCTGGCGAGTAGAGCGAGGGTCGGTGAACGCAGCGTTCCTTCCTTGGTGCGGAACTGCCCGCGGGTGTACGGCGCCGAAATCCTTGGCGGATGCCTTTAAGCCTCTGATCTAGGGTCTCCTCGCCTGATTCTGGCACCAAGTGATCGGGCCGGCCCGACGCAAGTGAAGACGGACCCACAAGGCAGCGCCAGGCTTCGCAGCCCACCCGCAGTGTCTGCCCGCCTGCCGTTCATCCCGACCCCGTGCCTATCATCATTTGCCCACTCCTCATTTCCGGTCCTCTCGGTGCAGCTCCCCTTCCCCGCCACTCGCAAAAACAGAGCCTCCACTGCAGACTTGAGTGGACTTTCCTTCGCTAGCTCCCGGGAGACCCCGCGACCCCACAGTGGCAGGGAAGTTAGGGGTGACCCCGACGACCATCAGTCAGAGCAGAAGTGGCAGCCAATTCTTTGCAACTCGCGTGCTTGCCTAAGACCGGTTTGAGAACCTGAACGTCGGTGTACGGATCCACAGCGCCCACTAGCGCCCATTTTTGCCCGTCCTGTTTGTAAGAACAAGCCTTCCCGCTACCGGATCAAAAACACTTGCTTAAGGTGGCCCACTGAAGGCAGAAGGCACTCAGAGTCTGTGCAGGGACCGACAAAAGTCAACCACGTGTTTTCAGATGCTGTCCCTCAATACCAGAATTTCTGAAAGTGGAAGCAGGCATTTTTCTCACCTATTTAACACAATTCCCACCGAGTTAAATATGAGAAAGTATTTACTATCTACATTGTCTAACCCCAACCCCCTTCATCCTTTGTAACAAATTCGGAATCTTTAAAAAGTGCTGATTTTCAAAAAATCTTAATGTGTACTGCAACTAGAGTCGGTTTGGAAAGACTTGTCTAAGACCAAAACACTAAAGTACCCAAAGTATGGAATTGGCTCACTCTCCCAAATACAGCTTTACGAAAGTCTTTTTTATAATCACTATTTTTAAGTAAGCCTGCAACAGCCTAAAACCAGGGAGGCATGCTAGGGAAGGGACATGCACTGGCGTGGGTACACAAGCAAACAGGAGTGATTTTTTTTTAACTTCCTGAGGATCCCCAAGACTGAAAAACTAGCAGGTGTTGCTACCTGAACTTCAAGGGGTGTGGGGGGGAGGGGCACTTGTTTTAAAGATTTACTTAACCTAGCGTGAAGTTAACATGGTCTGAATGGATATTCAGTATGTGTTATGAAATTTAAGTTGTGACCTCTTAGCTCCCCTTACATCCTCTGGTAAACCAAAGAAAGGAAATTTATAATGTCTGAAAATAACTCAGTTTCCAAAAATAGCACTTTCAGTAAGCCAGATATTCTGACACCCAAAGCATTTCACCTTGAGAACAATGTAAATATACTTTTTTAAAAAAAGTCACACAAAATACTCCCTGTGACTTTTGGGGGTGGGGGAGGAGTACAACAACGACTATGACATGGATTTGCCAACTTAATATTCTGGTCCTCAACTGCTTATGCAGTCATTCTGGAAACTGAAACATAACCTCAAGCCATTCCTATCTCAAAGTACATCTAACAATACCAGGGAAAAGTGTCATAGGGCTGTGTACGAAAGGTGATGGTAAAAAAATTCTAAAGCATGCCCACACCAATCAGTGTCATGCCTCTGCAGTGGGACCTCACTGTACAAATAAATTCTTGGTTTGTTCTGAAGACAGGATAAAACTCTTTGCCAAAGGACAAGTACTTCAGCAGAAGTTGTTACTGATTCTGTAGCTAAGGAAGTTTCTCAAACCCAATAAAAGCCTGGGAATTTTAAAAGTGCTACCTATTATAAAATGATATAATAATAAAATGATAAAAAGAACACAAATGATTTCTTTAGAGGGAGGCAGCAGAGCCAAGTCAGCCAACAGCGATGCATCTTATACCAAGCTGAACAGCTTGGTCTTCAGTCTCCTGTAACATCTCCGCACTAAAGACCAAAATCACCACCTCTTCCATTTGGTGGGGAAACAGTACAGGCACTAACCAGAACAGATGAGGGAATGAACCCTCAAGTCTCCCACTGTGGACTGGGATCTAGAGGCCCAGTGGAGGTCCATCCATCAAACCGGGATAGGTATTATGGTGGACAAGAAGACACATCGCTGGCCTTACTCTACGAAATGATTTTACATAGTTGGTTAACAATATGGAGAGTCAAAGGCCACTGTTTGTAACCTACAATTTGGGTCACTGAGGCCTAGCAAGGTAATAAAAGGGAGCTTCTACTTTTAGCTCACAAACCCTTTGGCCCTTACACCATGATACAAAGGGCTCAAGAGGACTTAAAACAAACCAGTCCCATAGTTAATTCCTGAACTGTCAATTAACCTAAGTAAAGGGCCATTTGCTAAGAAATGAGAACCATGGTACAGGGAGGGGAAGACTTCATTCTAATCCAGCAGGTACTAAACTGACGTATTTAACAAAACAATCTGGCTTTGTGGAATGACTGGATCATCAACAAGCATTGCTCTTTAATTAAGAGTGTTGTTTTATTTTATAAGTATGAAAAATATGAAAAATAAAACCACTGCTACATCCTCTGATCAATGACCTTCTTAAACAGTGTTAGTCAATTCAACAATGACTGGAGTGTAAAAGATGCTACCCTAACTTGCAGAGCACTCCAATACACAGAAAACAAGTACTGGGGTTTGCTTTAGAAAGAAGGGGGATGGTGCTCTCACCATACCTTGAATCCTCTGGACTCTGCCCAATTCTACCACTGTTTCACAAATCACTTACTCTAGTAATTGTAACCTCACTGTACACCACACAGGAGGGAAAACACCCCAATCATTCCAAGCAAATGGCAACTTGCTAAAAAAAAGTATGATGCTGTGCATTGGCCAATGCAACCAACATTAAGGCACCACTGTCCCTCACCAGACAACTCACTTCTAGAACCATCAACACATATCACAGATGGCACAGGTATCAAGACCAGTTAAAATGGAATTCCAACAAATGGAAACATAAGCCATCTACTGCTGGGAAACACCCATATCCATCTCCCCAGCAATACTTTTAGGTCCTTTCCCGTTAGTAAACCTAGTATCCTGGATCAGGAGGTAACTCCCATCTTCGGAAGTCTCATGGCCTGTAATGCAAAGGGCACTGATGGCTCTGGGTAGAAAAACAACATAACGGGAGACAGCTGAATACCAGAAGCTCAAGCTAACAGCAGCATGGAAATGTTCACTGGTGGCCACACAGACACACAGGACAGCACATGTGTGCACGCATACACACAAAGAAAGACACAGACACACACACACACACACACACAGTATATACTAGTATAGTTAAGTGACTAAGCCATTATTCAGAACAGTAACAAGCTCATTTGCTACATCCTAAGGCAAACTATAGTCCTTGCCTAGGAACCTTCCTCTATTTGAAGCATTGAAGAGTCCTCACACCAAACTAATTTAAAGTTTTAGTTTATACAGTTGAGAATTCTGCAAATTCCACAATATTAATGGCAATAACTACAAATTTCAAATGCTATAATAAAAATAAAAACAGTCAGCTAATTCTATAATGCATCAAAAGTTTCAAATAACTGAAGAAAAGCAAAACTGGGAACTAAAAGGAACATATAAATTGCTAATAAATTGTGAAAAAAAAAACTCTTAACTTTTATAATTTGTACACATAAGTGGGAAAAAAATGAAGAAAACAAATTACTACATTGTTGTAGCACAGTAAAGGCGGGTGCACATTATTAACAATGATATCCCTTTTCCTGTATCCTGGTAGACAACAGTAATCAGTTACGAAGCACAGGAACAACTGAATTAAGAGTCTCTAACAGTAGACACTAAGATGTGTTATTTAGCCACTGTGATTTCTTTTCACTTGTAGCAGAAGAAACGTTAATGACGGAAGAAAAGGCACGAAAAGGCTGATCTTAAGTATTTGAAGCCCAGGCTACTCTTTAGACAGTGCTTGAAACACAAGGAGAGCAAAAGCAACTTTTAATGGACACTTCCAGAACCTTGAATATACAACCAAGGAACAATGAATCTGAATTGAAAAGTTACATCAAGAGAATAAAGTATAAGAAGGAAATAATTGAGCTAACATATGTTATGAGATTTAAGTATTATAACCTATTCAGGTAAATGAAGTGGACATGTACTTAGAGTGATAGGGTATCCTATTTACTAAAACCTCACTTTACCTTATGCCTACTTAAAATTCTGCCATTCTTCGTTATCATACTGAAGAATTGAAACTAAAGCAATAGCATTTCCCATAGCATGCAAACATAACATTCTACCATTTAATCATCTCAAGCAACATTTTCAAGGTTAAACAATGATACCATGATCTCCGGGAACCAGGTCTTCGTTATGCCATGCCTATGTACCTCTGAGAGCATATTATGGCCTTTACTTGAGTGTTTTACTACTAGTAAGCATCAACAAATAAAAAGATGAGGCAGATTCTGCTAAAATCCAGGTTATCTCTAAGTTTCCACATGCAAAATTACCCAAACCAAAACCTGAGTGAACTTAAATATGTTTATCCTACAAATAAACATGCAAGGATAAAGATTATTTTAGCCTTGTTGAACACACAAAGCCAAGTTCTATCTGATGGTCCACCCTCTCTGAAAGTGACTTAATAGCCCATAAATTTTAAAAACATACTTTCTAGTGTTTATTAAGTATAATTTGTGGCAATAATACTTATTTTCTATAACAGAGGCACAGCTTTAGGATTTTTCAAAGATAATACTTGATGTTTTAAGCATAGTGTCTGTAAAAATAGCCAGTAGTATTAATTAACAAGTATATTTAATGTACATAGAAACCCTGTGAAAAATATAAACTGGAGGAAATCTAGTACAGTTCTAAGGCTTCTAAAGTAAACCACCCTTTAGATTTAACAGAACTTAAAAAAAAATTGCTTAAACATATGAATTTAAGACTTTACTTTATTCAGCAAAATCATTTATTTACAGTGGGGGAATGCTGGTTTGATTTTGTCAATGAAAGAAACAAAAGTCCGACAGAGACCATCCTGCACTGTGGGGTACTTCTGTATCAGGTGACCAACTGTTATCCTTACCTGTTATCAGGAACACCAAGAGCCATAGTATCACAAGGACACTGCTATAACAAGACCACAAAGGTCCAGCAAAACCCTGGGAATTTTGCAATGCAATTACCAACTTTTTCTTTTTTTATAAATGTATAAAAAAACAAAAAGTCAGCAAAACCAGCATTATGACGGAGTACACAGAGTATAACCCCGAAGTCAGTGGTCAGTGAACACCTTACCAGACCAAGCTATTCACCAAGTGACCTGCCCTTCAGCAGACCACCAACCAGTACAGAATCCCAACAGGTGAAAAATACACCACCTCTCAAAAACAGCAATGATCTGATAAGGATTTGACGTAATGGAGGAAAAGAGGGAAAAATAAATGGATTGCAGAGCATAGCCCCTATTAGAACAAGCTAACTTTCCAGACTTTCCAAATTAAAAAAAAAAAAAAAAAAAAAACAACAAAACAAAAAAAAAAAAAAAAAAAAAACCACTTCAACATGAAGCTACAATACGAAGTTTTTCATTTTTCTTTGTAAAAAGTTCAGTCTGCCACTCAATCCTGGGTTTTTAGTGAGAAAGACAGTTTTGGCCTGGACTTCCCCTTGCCCAGGATAATTTTTTGCTCTTCTTTTTGTTGGCGTTGGCGTTCTTGTTCTAGTTTCATCCTTTCCTCATGAATCTTTCTCTGTTCTTCAACAATTCTCAATTGTTCTTCGGCCTGAAATTAACCAAAGAATGACACTGGTTATTCCCTTCTCTCAGGTGACAATCTACAACATACATGAACATACAAACCTGGAGAGGAAGAAAATAATTGAGGAAAGATCTCTTCACTTAATTACTCCTATGTGTTTTCTCTATTTCAAGATTATGAACAATGAATTTTATGGACTTCATGCCTTGATTATTAGTTATCTAAAGCAAATGCACAGACTTAGTCCCAGAGTATGTATGTACCCAGTAACTGTATTTATAATTAGATAGATATATACAAGAATTGTAGCTAAAAAATCACCACTGTGCCTCCATATTATATACACAACAGTAACCAAAAATTTACCCAGGTAGTGGTGGCACATATCTTTAATCCAGCACTCAGGAGGCAGAGACTGGTGGATCTCTGAGTTCAAGGCCAGCCTGATTTACAGAGAAAGTTCCAAGATAGCCAGGGCTACATAGAGAAACTCTGTCTTGGAAAATTAACAAGGAATTTTTCTAAGACCTAATTTCTTGGAGTGAAAACAAAGCAGCAAATGTTTTGATCTAATAGATTATAAAATACTATCTAATTTCACATCGGCTACAGGGTCAGCTCCTGATGTATCTTTAAAGCCTTCAATGTTCTCTCTATAGGACATGTCCCTTGTTAACCATGAAAAGTAAAGCTATTCAATTCACAATTCCTTCCCCTTCCTCTCACCTTCCAAAGATCACTTTGACCGCCTCAATTCTCTGGGGTCTCCTTTGCCCTTCTCTTAAAGGACATTAGGACTAACCAGCTGATGGCTCTGAATATTGAAGTAGGAACAGCACCCAGGCAGTAGAAGACAGGGACAATGCAAGACAGCTTGCAAAACAAAGAATCACCCACCCTCAACCTCAACAATGTCATTAGTAAGAAAGGCTGTTTTCCCCTGAATGTCTCCATCAGTCACCACCATTCTCCCATTTTTGCTGACTTTGATCTAAAACGTGTACTTTGTGCTTCGACCTGCCTCCCATTCAAAGTCACCGCTTCTGCCTCCCTATTTACTTAAAACTGTTTTACGATGGTAATCAACAAGAGATCAAGCAATTCCCCATTCTTTGAATACAACGTCTGTCCCCATGTCTCCAATGTCCTCTTCCACATATTCTCATATAGAACAACTGATATGCTCCATTCACCATCATTCCTCTGGTTCCTTTACCATGTTTAAAAGTAAAATGCCAAGGCCTTTTGGCAAAAGTGAGAAAGGTAATGGACTATTAGTGTTATCGAACACAAAATGCAAAGTGATGTCATGAGATTATCAAAATGGACAGAAAGGCAGAGGTGGTGGTACAGGCCCAGAGTTCTTAGCTCCAAGAGGGAAGGGTAAGGCACTGAGCAGACCCAGAAGCAGGCCAGATAAAAACCCGGAGCACCGATGGACACCCTGTCCTGTCTTCTTTCTGAGCAACTTGGCAAAAGCCTGAAAAAGAAATGTACTGAGGAAATCCAACTGCCCCCAACTCTACAGACTTCAGATTTAAGTTATTCTGCCCTTTCTTAAAATTGGTTCACCCTTAAGCACATGCAGGGGAGGGAGAGGGAGGGGGAGAGGGAGAGTGAGGGGGAGGGGGAGAGGGCGAGGGGGAGAGAGAGAAAGAAAGAGAGAGAGAAAGAGAGAGAGAAAGAGAGAGAGAGAGAGAGAGAGAGAGAGAGAGAACATAAAAGAGGGAGCCATTATTGGTTTGAAGAGAAAACTAAATCTAAAGAAAGGTCTACAGACCTACAAGACTGCCACCAACTAACAATTTGAGCAACCGTGGAAAGGCTACCATAAATGCCCTTCCCGGATAGTGAGATCAACAAATAATTTATCCACCATCATGGAGCCCTCATCTAGTACCTGTTGGAAACAAGCAAATACCCATAACTAAACACTGAGTCAAACTAGAATCCAGATGCAGAGGGAGAAGACAAGATCAGGTTGGAGAAACACATAGAGCCAGCTGACCTGAACAAGGAGGAGCTAACAGGCCCCCAGACTGATAGCTGGGAATCCAGCATGGAACTGACTCAGGCCCCCCTGAATATGGGTCTCAGGTAGAGGACCGAGCAGTCTAAGGGACCTCAGACAGTGGAACCAGGATGCATTCCTGGTGCACAAAAGACCTTGCGGACATATCCCCCATGGAAGGATACTACCTTAACCTAGAGACAGGAGAGAAGTCCTAGTCCCTACTTCAAATGACTTGACAGATTTACATGACTCCACCTAGATGGCATTGCCCTACATGTGGAACTGGGGTGGGGGAATGGGAGGGGATGGTGGTCAGGGTGCATGTGAGGGGGCAGAGAGGGTAAGAGGGAGGGAGGGGGAACTGGGATCGACATGTAAAATAAAAAATAAATAATTAAAAAAATAGTCCATCCTTTCTGAGGGCCAAGTTCTTTTCCCTCTTTCTAATTTTAAAAATCACTTATTCATTTAGTGGATGAAGGAACACCATGGCATGATTGCAGAAGTCAGAAGACAACTTATAGGAGTCAGTTTTTTATTTCTTTCCATCAGGGCATCAGACATGATGGCAAGCAACTTTACCCACTGAGCCATCTTCTAGCCACTTTAACCCCCATTTACTTGTGGGTCTCACGCCATAGCAGAGGCCTCAAACTCAGGGAATCTTCTAGGAGCATTGTGACAACTCCTAAGCTCTGTTCTGCCCTGTTCTCCCCCGAAACATCCATCAGCTGCTCATGACCAAATCATCTATTCTTTTATTCTTTCTCTGGCTTTGAGAGTTTATTCAAGTCTGCTGTCACCATGCCTGTTAGTGAGACTGTCCCCATTGGACACAGTACTAAGACACTCCTTGGCCTTCAAATTTCCAGAGATTTCAGTGGAAAAAGAAAATTCCAGCTGAACTTCCAAAATTACTATGCCCTCCAAGCAGTGAGAAGACCACCACTAAAATGCTACCTTCACAAGAAATTCATTTAAATTGCCACCTTCCCTAGCTTTACTAATGATCCCAACATAAAAAGAATGATTAATGTATCTGGGGCTGGGAAGATAGATGGCTCCATGGATTAAAAACCTTTGATAAGGACTACAATTCAGATAATCAAAACCCACACCTAAATGCCTAGCGTGACTAGGAGAAAATAGGTGAGGCTTCTGGTTCACTGAGTGAAATCAAGAGATTGAGAAGACATCCTATGCTAACTTCAGACCTTTACATGTGCATGAGCCTGTGTTATGTACGTACGTACACACACAGACACATACAATGTTCCCCTTTTAAAACTAAGCCAGCCAGGTGGCAGTGGCACATGGATCTCTGTAAGCTCAAGGTCAGCCTGGTCTATAAAGTGAGTCCCAGGGCAACCAGGAATACACAAAGAAATCCTGTCTCAATAGAAAAAGCAAACAAAAAACCAACCACTATGTCAACTATCTACATCAAATCATGTATTTGGGGTACCGGCACTAGATACTGAACCAAGGTGCATGTGTGAACACACTGGAAAATCTTTGGCAACTTTAAAAAATTTATTGTGTACACAATGCATAAATGTATGTCTGCACTCCAGAAGAGGACACCAGTTCTTATTACAGGTGCTTGTGAGCCACCATGTAGTTGCTGGGAATTGAACCCAGAACAGCCAGTGCCCTTAACCTCTACACCATCTGCCGGTCCAACCTTTGGCAATTTAAACACCCAGGCTTAATACTATCTAACTTGACCCCAGTAAACCATTAGGACCTTTTGAGTGACTATTAAAAGGACAGATAGTCTCAATACATGACAACTCAATTTTGGATCCCATCAATGTTTGATTCACATGCTTACTAAAGAGCAGCTAGATTAACCAAAACTACCTAGTTACAATAAATTTACTCAACAATTTCAGTTTCTGGAATTTCCTTCATAAATATACCTGTAAACATGCAAAATTTATAATTACTGTGTGTGTGCAAGCCAGGTAAGCCATGATGCTTTCCTCAATAGCTTCTTTACCTTGCTTTTGGGAATGCCTCTTTCTGGGCCTGCAGCTAGAAGCTGAGTTACCATGGCTTACCAACAGACCCAAGGGTACTCCTTGTCCCCATCTACCCAGACTAGGATTACAAGCTTGTGCTATAGGACACATGTGCTTCAGATAACATGGGGGTCTTCAAACTTACATAGCAAGTTTTTTTTCTGGCTAAGCCATCTTTCTGGACTCCCAGATTCATAGTTCTACAGAGTTATTTACTGTAACAGTTTGGAAAAGGAAATGATGAAGACTAAGTAATCTATAAAGGATCTGCAAAACAATATTGCATACTTATGAAAACACCAAACAGGTGGCTTAGCAGTGGCTACTTTTCCAGAGAACCCAGGTTCAATTCCCAGCACCTACACAGTGGCTCACATATAACGCTACACCTACATATAACTCTAGTCCCAGAAGATCTGATGCGACCTTCTCCCTGGGTACTGAACACAGGACAGGTAGTGTCCACAATCACTCAGGCAAACACTCACACACATAAACAGAATGAATATTTTTTAAAAGCAACAAAAACAGCTAGGGAGAAGGTTCTGAGGGTAAAGTGCTTGTTGTGCAAACATGAGGATCTGAGCTCAGACCTGCAATACTCATGTAAAAAGTTGGGTTCAGTGACTAGGCCACACCCAGCACCCTGGAAGTGGAGCTAGATCTGAAGCTCGCTCAGTGGGTAGTCACAGTCTACCAGAAACGGTCGGCACCAGGTCCACTGAGTGATCTTGTCTCAAAGTGATAGGAAAGGATTACACAAAACACCCAGTGTCTATCTCTACCTTCTACCCATGTGCTCCTGTGCTTGCTTGCTCCTCTCTCTCAAAACAGCATCCAGAAAGAGCCTGCACATTCTGAAACAGAACTCTTCAATATACATTAGGTGAAACAAGAAAACTAGCAAATAGTAAGCAGAGTGTCACCGGGGAGAATAAAACCACAACACTCATCTATGCTTGAACATGCATTTCAAGAACTCTTTT